TCTCTCTCTCTCTCTCTCTCTCTCTCTCTCTCTCTCTCTCTCTCTCTCGGATTAATAAACTCCAAAAAACTATTATATTTATTAATATTTTTATGTTTCGCATAAACAAACACACATTTATATATTATAAATGTATACAATGTAAATAACTTACTTAAAAAACTCACGTATGAGACAAAAGTCATTTAGCCATTCTAGTATACTATACATTTTAGTCTATAATACAGTTATTGATATATTAATATCTTGTTTAAACAAATATGGTAAAAATATTTTAATACTTGTCTGTATCATAATGATAAAACAGTTTTAATAGGTAAAATGTAACATTATCAATAATGCAAACAAACATTATTTCATAATACATTTGTTTTATATAATGTAAAGTTTATTATTATTGACTTTATTAACAATTTATACCTGGATTACATCTAAACGTTGCTTCAAATATAAACAATATAATCGATGCAAACAAAGTCCGCAAATTAACAAATAAAAAGTGTCAGAAAGAGAAAGTACTTAACACATGTTTACAATGATGTAATTAATTGCATGGATAACACACAAAAATACCAAGAATATTTATTATCATAATATGATTAATATAATATGGTAATAGTACTTAAATATAATTTAAAATCAATAAATCCACCATGATACATCTGTTTGAATAAAGTAACCAGTGTACAATTTTTTAATGCCACTTTGATTAATTAAAATATACTAGAACATTAAACTAGCTCCCATTTGCTATAAAAATATTTAAAAATTATTAATCAATGATCGTGCAAATGATTGCAAATTAATTGATAAATTCATCAAGTACACATTCTACTATACAATTTAAAAGTATATAAGACAGTTTTATTTTCAATAAAATTCACAAACACTTTTAATACAAATTATTGTTAATAAATGTTAATAAATAAATTGTTTGAATATAATTTTATTTGTAACATAAAATGAATTGTCCAGTATTAGCCACGTTGGTTTTATGTAAGTTTTTGAAATATAATACTTAATTATTTATATTAAATATTTTTAACATAACCATTTTATTTAACAAACTAACAC